AACCTAAATATCAATTTCAAAAAATTCCTTCAAATCTATTGTGGAATGTCAATTTTGGAGAAAATCCTGTGAACGGTTTTGGTGCTATCGTTGACCACAGACAGAAGTACAGACATTTTTAAATCAATATAGTTTTCGGTGCCAAGAAACCACAAAACGCCAATTATGACTACACAATGTATTAGAGGAAGTAATTTACTACATATAGGAACAAACTTAATCCATTTTTTGTTACCAGGGACCGGCACAAAGAGTTATGTTTTTGCCCGATATGTTTTTTATTGTGGTTTCCAAATCCTTAACCTAACATAGTAAAACATATAATATCGGACTTAAATCATACTTTATTAACTTTTTAAGTTGCTCTGCCAGCCAGACACTAACGATCACAGAATTTTCAGTATCTTATGTGATATTACTGTTCACCTACTTCTGCAATCCGTAGTCGTTGTGTATGGGAACGTACAGATTTCCACATTATTTGTTAAATACTTTGTACAATATATAAAATACTATATACAACACAATATATTTAACATTGAAGTTGAATATGAATTTAGCTTACATCGAATAGAAAGTTCAAATGGCTGTATCACGACCTTTGCGATTGAAGTACTGAATAACTCAACATATCAAGCTATACACACCACATGGTATCTTTTGAGCCAAGTAATGATCTGCGTTTTTGACACGCTGATTGCGAATGTGGTTCCTCAGAGTGGAAGAGTTTATAATGACGTGAAAGTCTATGTGGAATTTTTGATGTATTAAAGAGTTGGTGCCATATTTTACAGGAAGCTCTGGCCTCACCCCAAATAATGAATATCCACCCTGATCAACATTCACCTCGTCAATAATTTCTCATAATCGTTATCCCATCATTGCTAACATCTAGAAATCCAATCAAGAGATATCGATGTTTCGCGAGTACGCAGTATACGTACGATGACCTTCTTTCCGGGAATAGCTCACATATGCTGAAAAACTCCAGTGCCCGCGTCAGAGCGAACTTCTGCGCCGTGTCCCGCGGGCGGAAGGCGAGTTGTATCCTGGCCGGGCGCCCCGCAGAGGCGCGGGCGGAAGCCGGCTGAGGCCGAGGCAGAGGCGCAGCGAGAGAGACGGATGCGGTGCCGGGGACCAAGGCTGAGGGGGTCACTATGAGAAGGTGGGGACCAAGGCGAATGCGGGGCAGGGGCGGGGCTG